CAACCCTGAGCCGGTGAGATTTGAACCGCTGACCTGCTGATCTAGCAGTAGCCTGCAGTGCTGCATTTAACCACTGCGCCACCTTGGCTCTTACCATGTTTCCCCAAAAATAAGTCAGGGTCTTATTTTCTTTTGACCCCCCCCCCCGAATAAGCGCTTGGCCTTATTTTCAGGAAGGTCTTATTATTTTTGAGGTGCAGGAGGCAACAAGCGTGGTCACCTCTGGACTGCTGCTGTGTTGCAATATTTTCAGGGAGGACTTATTTTCAGGGGAGGGCTTATTTTAGCGCATGTGCTCAAAAGCTTGATTGGGCTTATTATCCGGGGAGGTCTTATTTTGGGGGAAACAGGGTACCAGTTTCCAAATTGCCTCCAAATTTTGTCCATGTGACTGTGGGATTTCTGTGATGGTCATAAGTGCATGACCAGATGTAAGTTATTTTTTTCACTGCCGTTGTACCTTTGAACAGTTGCTAAATGAAGTCTCCTCCTATTTGCTCTTACAAATAGTAAATGAAGAGTCCCCTCCTAATTGCTCCTATGCCCTTAATGGAAGATGTTCATAATCTGGTGATTATTTTAAAATGGGCACAATCAGATGCCAGGGATCATTTTGAGTCTAAATTTACCTACCTTCTTGCATACAAAAAAGAGGTTGTGCCTTAGTAACCCTCCTAAAGTTTTCAAAGTTTGAGTGAATTAAAGTGAGTTTCAGCTGAGTATAATTGTTGTCTTTATGGATTTTTGCTGAATCTCCACATTTTCAGTAAGGCTTTTGGCACTGTTGTCTAGAAAAACGTAATAAATCATTTCTATCCCAGGAAAAGAAAAGAATGTGTTTTCTTCTGTCCATTAACAACTTTTCCACGAACTGAAAACACTGGTGTCTAAAACTTCCTATTCAGTCCTGAACATCATCTTTTAATCTTTCCTGTTAATTTGGAATTTTTCTGATTGGCAAAAAAATACAGTGCAATATAGCTGGCTTTCCTCAAACGTCTCCAATTATATTGGACTACTTCTCCCATTATCCCCCAGTCTCCAGTTTGAACATCTGTTAACAATGGATAACACATGGGAAGAATATCACACCTCCAGTGGCTGTCAGATTAGAGAAGTCTAATACAAAACCCTTTCAAATCCATCTTGCTCTATCTTCAGCAATTTGTTCTTAATTGAGTGTCACCAGAATGGGGGATAGTTTGCAAAAGACCATTGAACACAATACATTTAAAATACAAAGAAAAAAGTCCCATTATGAAACCAGCAGCAGAATTTAAAAGAACTTTATATCTAAACTAGAGCACTTTAACCAAAGTGAAATATGTATATCTTTACAGTTATGCACTATACATGCAATAATTATGATCCATATGGATAAGAGGATGTTCATGAACAAAACTGAGAGCTTTATTTTATTATAAAGAGTTGAGTGGAGCTCTTTTGATTTTTCTTTAATGTTAAAACATTTTTAGAGATGACACCTGAAGTTATTTTGCATTTTCTGCATTAAAGAATCTGGAACCTATGTTACTAATTTTCAGCAATACTATAGTTAGATAGGTTTCTGAAGATGAGTGAGGCTTGCAGTGTAGTAGTCTATCTCTGCATTAAATTCTTATGAGAACGTTTTTCCCCCACATGGCCAAAATGTCTAGAAGCCAAGTGAGCCAATGCTTGGTAAGTCCAGTTGCGCAACATCTTGGCTTCAGTATTATCAGGATAGGCATAATTTCAGAACGTATGAGAAAAGTCAGTGCCCTGAGGTCAGTGCATTGGAAATTTATGAAGGTTACCCTTGGCTTGACCTCCATCTGTGCCAATAATCTGTGTGGGTCTGTAATCTGGGAGGGCTTTATAAGTGGGTTTATTTTCTTCTGGTCCTGCCCTATCTCTATTTAGTTTTCTCTGCCAGCATGTTTTGGCCAGAGATGAGGATTTTTCTGACAACAAATCCTTGGGGTCAACCAAAAGAAAGATTTTTTCTCTAGTAGAAAAGGACTTCAGCCAACTTGTGCCTCATCTCAATCTACTCCAGACAAAGCACTTTTGATTTCAGACTGCATGCTCAGTCTGTAAATTAATCAAATGCTCTTCACCATTGATACTTTGATTGAGTAAATATTTCTAGCTCGGACTAGTTTTCATTGTTTAAATTGTATCAATACGTACACTTAATGAAAGCCATCAAGGAACGAATGTTTCTTTTCTGGATTATGTCAAGGGGTACGTAGATAACATTCCCTCTTCATTTGTTACAATTAGAAAATCTCCTCCCTGATTTCCTGTAGGGAATTCTAATCTAACAAATGTGAGCTAAGGGCATCTTAATTATTTTATTATTGTAGCAGCAAATAAAAGTGAGAAATATTGAAAATAATGGAATGAATCCAGAGAAATCTAACTGCATTTTGATCCTACTGAAATTAATGGAAAAAGAAAAAAACAAATGGAGGGGAAAAAAGACCCAGTTTGGCGTACTGGTTAAAGTGCTGGCCTAGAAACCAGGAGACCATGAGTTCTAGTGCTAGTTCCAGGCTGGGTGACTTTGGGACAGTCATTCTCTCACACAAGGTTGTTATTGTGGGGGAAATGGGAAAAGGAAGGAGTAGTATATTCGACTACTTGAGATTTATACAGTAATAAAAGTGGAGTAAAAATCTAATAAATAAATAAAAATTACCTAAGATCTATATTTAATATATTTGAACTACATTGAATTCAGTCCAGCAAATTTTCTAAGAATAGTTATTGAAGTATCAGATAGAAATCATCAGGGTATGAGGTACTGAACTCTCATTTTAAAAACAGAAAAGTTTCTAGCTTTTTGTGAAATGTGATGTATAATCTCCAAACAGAAAGGAAATAATTTGCTTTGTGAGAAATTGATGTTTTGTGACAAGTAATATATATTTAATATATTACTTGCCATATTTTTCGGAGTATAAGACACACTGGAGTATAAGACGCACCAAGATTTTGAAGAGGCAAATTTTTTAAAAAAGTTTTTGCACTCTGCAGACNTTTTAAAAAAATGTTATTGTCAATTCTAATTGGGTTTGTTTGGGATATTCTATTTAATTTTTTTTAACTTTTGTATTATGTGTTTCTTTTAATGTTGTACACCGCCCTGAGTCCTTGGGAAAAGGGCGGCATATAAATCTAATAAACCAAACCAAACCAAACCAAATAGAATTTCACCCATGCATCCTCCTTGCTCCAAATCATCCATGCAGCTCATCTTGAGGTGAGTCAAGTATTTCTTTTCTGCAAGGAGGTGGAAGAAAACCTTATGGAGCTCTCTTCAGAGGGTCAGTAACCTGCTAGTCTTCAACTGGCCCACTTTTCTTTTCTGGTTGGAGACCTCTGCATCTCCATGGGCTGTTAGGTTATGGTTACCAGAGATTTTGAACATCTCATTCAGGCAGTCTATTTTCTATTTGCTTATTTGTTTGGTCATGAAACTACTAATCCTGAAGAAGATCCATAGTATGATAGCAGACAATGAAGCAGGTCACTGTTCTCAGCTTCATTGCACCCATGTTCTTCAGAGAAGACAATCAAAATATCATTTGTATTAGTTTCTGTACAAAACTGTTCAAATTATGTCTTGCATGGCACAACTTTAATGACTGAATAGTAGAACCAAACTCTCTCTTTTTCTCCCTACCTATGCCCAAAATTATTCATTAATATATGATAAAATCATAG